TGAGTCCTCAAAAGAAAATTTGGAAAACCTCACACCTTTATCTATCATTAAAAAATGAATTTTTAGATGAGTCCTCAAAAGAAAATTTGGAAAACAACTTCGAAAACATTTTTCTTATTTTATAATGTGGTAAGAAATTTTCTTTTTTGATCATCAAAAAACAAAATTTTATTATTTGAAGTACAAGAAGTGCCCTACCCATTTAAAAATCCATTCTTGGACAACTAAATCAAAACCCACAAAAGCATATGACCTAGAAATTACAAGCAAACAACTACCCAAAATATAACTACACCTCTAATCTAAATTAAACTTGCACTTGCTATTGTCTGTTAAATTGCTTTTGTAGATACTTATGTCTTTTCACAGCAGCAGCACACTCAGTCGGTCTTAATGTTTAGTCAAGAAATGAGAAAACACATCCGGCAACACTATTTTTTATCCATGTAAAGGTTTTAACTTACACAGCATCCAGCATTTTCTTCCCAAAGTTCCCCTCCTTGTTAAAAACCTTAGCATTCTCCTAGTACCACAAAGGCCGAACCACAACTAAAAACAAAGAGGATCCCACCTCCTTCCCTACACCCCTCCCTAAACCATGCATAGAATAATCAGCCAAACCTCTAACATTATTCGGCAGCACCCCCTCTAATCCCCATCACTGCAGCACCTTCTTCCACACAAGCCGGCACGCCTCTTTATATGTACAAGACAAATGAATATTCTCCTCCAACCCCTCCCTACACAAAGTGCACCTCATCTCCTCCCCGAGCAAAACGACTCCCCTCTTTTGTGGATTAAACTTAGTAGCCAACCTATTTAAAAATAGCCTCCATCCAAAAAAAACTTACTTTTGATCTAACCAACTTACACCTAATAAACTTGCACACCCTACCATCAAGAAGGCACTCAAATGGTTATAAAAACTCATAAGCCTTCTTAACCACATAACATCGATCAACTCCTGTTATGTTCCCACCTCCACCTATCCTCCTTATCCTCCTTGAATCTCACACCTTCTAACAGTTCCCTCATTACCCCTCATTACCTCCTCATCTAATTCTCTCCCCAACCTCTTCCCACTCACTCATTTCCTAAAATGTACAATCCTTATTTGTGGCCAGC